TTAAGATATTCTATAAAAGGGTTATTATTAGTAGAAATAAAAGTTTGTTTCGAACTATGGAGCAATGGGAGCTGTGTTGACTTTCAAGTTTATAGCAATGCAAACCAAGATTGGAAGCAACCAATTAAATGTATGTCTGTTAGTCTAACTGAGACACGTTTTGCCTTCTGACAAAGACAGCAAATCAGTGAACAAAGCACAATCGGTAAATTCCAATTTTCCAATAAAAACAATCAATGTGCATCATCTTTAATAAAAGCCTCTGCCTCAATAGATTTTTAAGGGGCAGTTAAAAACCCATTTTCCGACAGGCCTTTATTGGGTCGCCGGAGGAGGTGAGTTAGTAGCAGTCTTTCATTGGTGTTTTATCCTATGTATTACCTGCAATTGTTTTATGCCTTTTATTCTACAATTTATAGTTGTACTGTGAATTATGTTCTGTGTACTGTACTGTAAAGCACTTTGTACATCCGTGTTGAGAAGGGTGCTATATAAATAAAGTTGTACTTACTTACTGTACTTACTTACTTTAAAGGTGGGGTAAGTACGTTTGAGAAACCGGCTTGAGATACACTTTTTGTTATATTCCATGGAATGCTCTTAACATCCCGATAGCAATGAATATCTTAAGTGCTTTGACAAAAAATCCATTAAAAAATGTCATCTGTGGAAGCCGTAGTACTGTAAAAAGCACGACGGTGTGTTGGTCTACCTGCCTGTCAGCTTTCCATCTGTGCACAAACTTATCTCGTGCCCTCATTGGTCATGTGCGCGTTCGTGTGTGTGTTGGAGGAGGGGCTCTGTAAGGAAGTGGCAGATTTGTTCCGGCTGTGTATTTTCTAATTCTAGCGCACTCAAGCTGGTTTCTCCAAAATTACCTACCCCACCTTTAAAGTGGACCTATCATGCTATATTGGAAAAATATATTGTAGGGCCATACCTATACAAAACATGTCTGTGAAGTTTTTTACTTAAAATACCAAACAGATCACCCATTGTAACCATGCCTCATACTGCTCATACCCCTCTTTTGCAGCCCTCTTAGAGAAACGCAGATGTTGGGTCCTTAGCTTGAAAAAAAAAAAAAGAGGAGGCGGAGCTAATGCCTGATCATAATTCTACTGGAGATAAAGTTAAATTCTGCTTTGATAAATCGCCATCCTGTTCTAAACCACATCAAAGATTATTTCTGAAACAGTATGGAGCTCAAATGCTTTTTCTCTTGTGGGTTTATCACAAGGTGAGTTCCTTTTTTTATTTCTTGCTTTTTAAACACATGTGCTCTACAGTACAGGTTAGCTCTGAGTGTTAGCGAGGCTTGCTAATGTAAACAAAGACGAGATTACGTCCAAAACACGTCAGGCATTGTTTCTGATAGCAATTTTTCTGTGGGTCCGCTGCCGATTTGACATCAGATCGGCAGGAAATCTATATCCGCTCGTTGTACCCCTGTTTTTAAAAGATTTGGGTACGGAGGAAAAGAGAGAGGGTTTTATTTTCTGGCGCTGCGTGAGTTACATATTTATGTATAAAAGACATCACAAATTGCATTTTGCATGATAGGTCCCCTTTAACTTTTATGAGGATAAAGCTAGCTAGCTAGAAAGTTGGTTACAGTTTAAGGATTTTATTTAAATAAGTTACTAAAATAAAGTTGTTCTTTATTATTTATCCATCACTTTATGTCTACTCACCCCTTACACCTTAGTGTTTAACAGAGGAACATTTACATTTGAGTATATTAAACGTAATAAATAGTCTTCATTTGGGTTTTCTAAACCAAATGAAACCTATGAAACCATGAAACCTATTCCAGATTTGAAAGTTTTAAGAAACTTGGCAATCAAGTATGTTTTCAACCACCCAGGGATGTACTGAACAACATGGACATCAGGACAGTTCATAAGTTGCAGGTTTCTCTGCTTTTTTATATATTTATATTCAAAACATTTGAATACAAATCTATAAAGCTGTACTGATCTAACAAAGCTGTGTTTTCCATACAAAAGTGCTACCGGCTCAATGCTGTTTCTTCACTTCCTCATATCTGCATGTCCTTGTTTTGTTTAAACTCCCATGCAAGTCACTCTTGGAAGACAAAAAATACAATTCAGTATGTTGGCAGTTGTTGTCTGTGCGTGACTTTAATTTCAGTTGAATATTACTTTTGTATTAAACCTTTCTTTACTTAACAAATAGGCCAGTTTCACCATTTAATGGATAACAGCAAAGAAAGAAAGAAAAAACTCATATCATTAATAATCTTTTATGCTTTCTTAAGCTGTACATTTATTTATTTTATTTTACTGATCACAAATTGTACCCCTAACAGAAGCTTTCCTCCTGCTAATCCCAGATGACCTGCGAGCAACCAGAGAACTTTCTCAACATGCTCATTCATTCACTACCATAGAAGCCCATCTGTGAAACATTTCCAACGTGAAGCCACTTTCCATGATCCTCTCCCATGTGTGGCTTGCAGCTTTAAAATGCATTGATTGGTTACTATTTCAATACGGGACTAACATTTTCCCCCTGACATTTGTATGATCCGTTGTTCCTCCACCTGCCGAGGATTAGTGATGGAAAGAGAACTAATCACTGCACCAACCAACACCGTGGTTTTGGAAGAGATCCAACGATTCACTCAACATTGAAAAGCAGCTCAGCTTCCCAGCCGCTGAGTCAGTCCGCCATTCACCAGTTAGCCGCAAACTCAGCTGCGGTTGTCATTTAATAGAAGGAAAGAAAAAAGATGAGTAAACAATGTAATAGTACCAGTTCAGTTTAACCTGTGATGCATGAAAGACAAAGTTGAATCACGTGTGACTGGTCCTTCTGGCTTCTTGAACTTTAGGAAATGAATTTGTCTTCCTCCTGCTAGTCCAACCTCTTCTGCCAGGAACTTTGTCTCATAAAGCCAGTTGTACATTTTCACTGTGTCATCAGGGGAAACATTTAAATGCTTCCATTCATTTAGAAACTGAATCTACAGTGGAATAAATCAATGGCCATCTGCCTTTAAACACTGCACCACACATGATCAATCAAGGAAATTATACCTGAATGTGAAACTGATGTAATCCTTTTTGTAATATACACAAGGACGGACTATGCTTACCACTGATGAGGATGAAGAACCTCATCAGTGCCAAGGATAGCCCTTCCATAAATAGTTTATTCTTTAAAATAACATTAAGCTGTTGCTTCCACTTTAAATGGTTGCATCTTTGTAGTTTACATTTTGTTCAACTTGCTACTCAATTTTGCCCTGAGGATGTTACAGCAACTGACTTCACAAAGGTTAATTGCTACCTATTGCAAATAGCTTTTCCAGTCTTACAGCATTTGGTTAATAGTGCATTGGAACATTTCCCCAAAGCTGCAGTTTGCCTGTTTTATGACAATCCTTGATAGAAAACACATGAATGCAAACTCTACAACAGCCCGATTTCAGAGATGCACTGACGCCAGTATATAAATCTATAGGCTTAAAGCGAATGGTAAATGGAAATATAAAACAACACCATGGAAACGCTGATCGTACACTTATGGTATACGAGAGGGAGAACCTGAAGAGTTGCACACATGGTAGAAAACAAATGTGAAGAATAAATTCATAATAACTGGTTTATTCTATTGACTAATGTTCTGCACTTAATTGTATTTGTTGAGCTTTTACACACAAATGTCTCATTCATTGTTATTTATTTCCCCTATCTTTCCAATGTATATGTATCAAAACACTTTCAGAGTTTGTAGTTGGAACACATACAAGTTAGTCAGCATCTGTAATACATTTAAAGTTTATACTCCAAAGGCGAGAATCACACATCTAATGCATTGTAAAACGGACTCCACAGACAAACATAGACATTTTATTTAACACAAAGCTACAATAAAACACTGCAGCAGCTCAGGGGCGAAAACAACACCATAACTGATGAACACAGCTGCCCATATGGGTTTCGGACAATAAAAAATTAAATAGCTGACAAAGTAGTTAATACCAGATTAAGAAATCATCTTAGTAGCTGCTAGGAAAGTGTAAAAGAGGCTTTTGGGAAAATACTACTCCAAAGCTTCTACTGAACAGAAAATGATTGCATTATAATTATCTAAGCAGAAACAGGAACCCAAATGACAACATTATTGGCTTGCCATAAACTTTTTAGAGGTTATTGAAGACTTCACAAAAACAACAAACGACAGCCAAGGCAACCGTATCCAAATCCAGGTTCATGCTTGAGAAATGTATTGAGAATTGGCAGGACTGTCCACTTTCAGACATGACAACGTGTTTCATATCCTTTAGTCAACCAACACGTGGACAAGTAAGCACGGTTCTGCTCTCAAAGTCATTACGTAGTTATCCCCTTGCAAGATTTCGTTCAAGTGTGCTGCTTTGCACACATGTCCAGACTCCAGCCCTTTTCAGATATCTCACCTCCAGGCTATAAACCACAACAGCAGTCACACTCCCAGACCCTGGCCTGCGTAGGTCAAAACACCTGGATCTGCTTCCTATCCGCCAGCCGCTTCCCATATCTCTCGGGGGAAGCTCTCATTCATGGCCAATTGAGATCTGATCAGTGTAACAGCGCGGCTGTCCACCACCACAATAACCATGCTGCCCAAGCCAGAAATAGTGGTAGTGGTAAAACCAGCGGCCAGGGGGCAGGGGGTTGGAAATCTGAGTAGTGTGTGTGTGTATATGTGTGTATATGTGTGTGTGTATATGTGTGTGTGTGTGTGTGTGTGTGTGTGTGTGTGTGTGTGTGTGTGTGTGTGTGTGTGTGTGTGTGTGTGTGTGTGTGTGTGTGTGTGGGTCGTTGTGCATGCTTGTGGATCTCTTTTGTGCCATGGGGAGGAGGAGGGGTGAAGAAAGGAGGCTGTTGCTTTAAACAAGAATGTGTTCATTTTTAAGGGAGAGGGGGAGGCTCTGAGCTCAATTTGTCTGCCTGGTGAAACACTGCAAGCGGATTTTTCATCATTTAAAAGCACCACGGAGGGAGTGAGAGAGAGAGGTGCAGTTGAGAGAGACAGCCTCTTAGAGCCGTGAGGCAGAAGTGATGGATTCAGCCCACAGGAAAGTGACAGTCTTCTACTAACGGGCCACAGGCAGTACACAACCTGCCCTGGACTCTCACCATTTATCAGGAAACTACCTCCACCAGCCAACTAAAGTTGTCTTTTGAAAGTGCTCCAACTTTTTCAAGTGGATTTTGGAACAATCTGCTCAATGTTTGCTGAAGGGTTCCTGGCAAGTTAACCTTCAGTTGAGCTAATGACGGTGTTTTAATAATAGGCTTTACAACAACACTGCCCTCCACGTCTGGAATGGACAGAGGCGACGGAGAGTGAGTAACTACACAGGCAGAGTGCAGAAAGGCGGAGAGTAGGACGCAGGGTGCTTTCACACTTGGGATGACTTTCTACCAGGAGAAACTTCAATCAGCGCTGCCAGGAGGGCAAGGCAACTGAGGCAGCCCCATCCATACTCTACAGTTATCTCGTAAGCAATGTGAAACCTTTACAATATTTATACAGTAATTGTATTTATTGCTTAAACAAGGACATGTAAATTGCATTAAGTCTGACATTACTTGTATTACTGCATTGATACATTTTCAGAGCAAATGATGACCGTTCTTGATGTTGTCAGTGAGATCAGAATCAATGAGCTTGATGAGATTTGTAACACCATGATGAAGCAATTATTCTGTTAAGTTGATAGAAGTCAGACTTTGACTGTTCACTCTTAAGCTGCTGCACTCTGCATAATGATTTTGTTTGATCTTAAATTCAGCAGTTGCATGCAGCATCTGCTATCTGACTCACTGTTTGGTGCCAAAGGGTATTTCTACTTTCTGATGATGACCTACTGATAGACTTGGTGGAGGGGGGTTAACTCAGCGCAGGGGGATGCTGGAGAGCGGGCTCTCTGGGCTAAGTGCTTCTTCGCTACTGAAAAAACACTCAGCTTGTCAAAACACAGGACCATAAAGGGATACTATAAAGGCATTGGCAATGAAGAGGGTGTGTAGAGGATGCAGGAGTCTTGTATGATGCATGAGATGTATCTAGAATTCAAACGGCACCATTCACTTGTTTAAGAAAAACAGAATAAGCAGACTGTCAGGCAGTATGCAGCTTCAGGATGTTCCCCTGGGCTCAGGAGGACAGGGAAGCAGGCAGCTGAATCCCGTCTTTGTTTCTGTTGCCAGGGTAGTGTTTGGATAAGGGGGCTTTGAGGTACAATGCTGGAACTTATCGAAACAATCCCAGAGACCCCCTGCCTCCCTGTCTGACTAAGACCACAAGTGAGGTACGGAAGAAGGCACCAAGCAGCGTGAGACACAGAACGAAATCTAAAATTTGAACAAAAAACATCAACTCTTTCTGCTCTGTGGGGAATCTAAATAAATACTGTCCATTACCTAACTGATGCGATGGTGGTTGAGCTTAATCATGTTCAAAATGTCATGTTACACGCTTACAAGGATTACATGCTTGAGGAAAGAATTAAATCACCCTCAAGGTAATGTAATAGTGCAGATTACCATGAGCAAATTGGATTTGACTCTGATCCAAACACATATTGGGTGTTATACCGGAGACTGCCAGTTGTTTAGGCTAATTTGATCATGCAGAGCAAAGTGTCCGATGCTTTTCGGCTACTGACAAATCAGGTGCGTTGTGGTTGAATTGTGATTTCCCAATGTGGATGATGAAGTGATTATGAGGAATTCACACAGAAAGTAGGACACTGGGAAGGAATTGGGTCAGTTGATGTATGTCTTACAGGTACGGAGGGGATAAGGGGAGTAATGGTCCTGAGTGTAGAGGGTCTAGCTCTCCGCCTGCCACCACCATTGACTCTCCATGTTTGTATGGCAGCTCACTCTAATGAGGTGACGAAGAATGTGAGGAATTCCATGCTCACGCTGAAATTAGAGGGGCTGGGGTGAGAGACATCAGCCAGTCTGAGCGAGGCTGCCCACCTTCTAATTAATATGTGCTGAGCATGAACAAAAAGTGCTGGTCAGAGACACACTGACCTACGCGATGCACTCGCCTATCACACTTGATTTAACAGAGAGTCAAATCCAGAAGGAGGAGTCATGTAAACACAGACTGACCGCCTGACGACAGTAAAAAAAAAATGTTTGGTGTGAAGCAGACTTGAAGAAATCTTCCAATAGGGGCTGCCAATCAAATCACACAGAGTGGTTTTGCGCTGGACACTACTCTCATGTGTCGTCAGGCCCTGAGAGTGAACATATATGGAACTTCTCAACACCAGTTAATCATTGCAGCCATTTGCCAGTCAATGGCAGCTTGTTAAAATGAAGTGATGTTAGCACAATGATGAGCTGTGGGGGCTTTTATCAGTGAAAAAGGAGGAGGAGGCTTTCTGTTGTTCCCTGTGGCTGTCTGGGGATGAGTTAATAACAGGCTGTCTGCCGGGGCAGAAGGGACTCTCTCAGGTCTCTGGGACACTGATCCCAGCGAGTCTTGTTTTTAAAAAAACACACATTATCGGAAGAAGCAGACGCGCACATGTGCCTCATTCAATCACTTGCTCATAAACACACATTTCATCACAAGCTGCAGATATTTTCCCCTCAGCTTTGAAGTGTAGTGAAGCCTAGAGCGGGAGATTCCGGGCTAACGACGTCCAACATGGGACTCTTCCTCAGCGGGGGCAAATCACACGGCATTTCTCAGAGACAGAGCTCATGTTCCAGGGGAAGAAACCGCAGGAGCCACTAGCCAAATACAGTCATCAGCACATTACAAGGGACAGGCTCTGGACTACTCTTTTATCTTAGTATGGGCTTACTTGTGAGCTATTATTAGGCATTCTGTGAGGTCTTGAAGATCATTTAAATGACATTGATCTCTCTGTGTAGTGCGAAAACTATTTATGACAGAACAATTTCTGAACCAATAAGTATTTGCTGAGCTGGTCTTTGTTACTATGATCAGTATTAAAGACTTACTAAGAAAGTTAAATAGTACATTTAAAACAGAATCTGCACTTTCTAATTAATCGTATCAGTCATTTTTCAACTGAGGAATACTTTTAGGTAACTTTTGTAACCAGATCCATGGGAGAATGGGACTGAATGTTGTTCTGTACTGAAGGTGATTTTATTTTGTGAGATAAACTACAATATTAAAAAGACAAAGGCATGTTTTTTCCCGATAAGGTAAAGTGTTTACACATTCTGCAGACAGATAAAGCCAAAAGGGTCGACTGAGCCAAGGTTCATGTTCTTGGTGAGCGCTGCATTTCTCTTCTCCAGGTCTCCAACCTAATGGGCTGGCAGCACGCCCGGATTAACAAGACAAAAACATTTCTGCTCTCTTCCCAAATTTGTTCTGATGATTATATGGTAGATTATCTTTCACACTGAGATAGGCCATAACAAATGTTTAAGACTGGCCCTCCTGACGTGGATCTTCAAAACCAAACCAATGTGAGTGAATATTAGACAGGCCCCTTCTGACTCTAGGGAGGTGTTCCACAGGACCCCTCTGTAATCCAATATGCAGCAGCTTTCAATTAAGGTGCCCCAGGAGTTCAAGGCCTTGTTATCCTTACACAGGAGTTACATTCTCCTCGGGACTCAGTGGCATCCCGTAATAACACCACATCATCTACAAAAACCTCCCTGCACTTATTTTTCTAATAAAAATGTCTATACTTTGCATTCTGTGGGTAAACGTTAAGTATCTCAGACACATTAACTTTGAGCTATGTAGGTAACATCGTTTGAGAGAATAATCTTTGATCAGAAATAAATACTGTGACAGATAAGTAATAGTATTGCATAGTAAGGCAAGATATTGGTCTTGTAGTACAGCTAAAACAGAAACACAAATGTTCAAGGGGGATGAATTGAATAGGATTGCCTTTCAAGGTCTTAACACAATTTATTTCCCTCTTTTGGAAAAGGCTACAGACAGGCCTGATGCAACACGATCAATATTTAGAAATAGTTCCATGAATAGCCTCATCTTGTAGTGTCTCAAATGTTCCATAAGCAAAGATGTCCTGGCCTGCAGAAGGGAGCAGATAGGAGCATTTCTGCGTGTCAACGACAAGCAGTGGCAGTTGCCCAAATACAATCTGAGCCAATAAACTAAGCTAAACACACTCCTCTCTAACAGCAATGCAACTGACTGAAGAGATCAGCACATCATTTGACAAAAGAAATGTTTTTCTTAGAAGCAGTGGGGTGATTAGTAACTTTCAAACAACATCTACTGTATACTCTTGATAGTGGAAAACTGATTTAAACATACTGAAATCAAGACCAGATGTATTCAATGAATAACACTTAAAAGCCATGGGGAAAACAGCAGTGTGTGTTTTATGCCAGAATTGACGCTTACAGTGTAACAACCATAAGGTTGATTTATATATTACACATGAAATAATGTGTTTCCTGTCATGGAAAGTTATAGCAGTCACTGGAGCGCTCAGCGGGGCAAGTGAGGGTTTCTCTTTCAGATCTAATCTTTTTCGGTAGCCCATATTTTTGGAGCTATAATGACCTCCAGCCCTTTCTACGTTGAGGTGTGTGTGCTTAGGGCTTCTGTGCCTGTCAGCTCCTGGCAGGTAATGAAGTATGGGACCAGTGAAACCTGATGGGCAGCCTTCTTCTGGTCCCAATCAGCCTTGCTGTGAAGGACCCCATTGACGCTCTAAAATCAGCATGTAGCCAAATTCTGAAGGCTTTAAATTCTAATAACGGAAACATTTCCAGAATGTTCATACAGTCTTTTGCTTGCAAACTAGCAAGACATTTTTTTTCTTAACAGTCTAACCTTTGTTTCCCCATTCTCCTTAGGTTTTGGTGAGTTGGATCCATGGAGCCCCCTTCAATGGTCCTGCTGGGGCTCCTTCTTGTTTATGGACTAGCATGTGGTGCCCAGGAAACTCAGGGAAGTCCGTCAGACACCAAGAATGGCAGGGGCAAGACCCAAGAGTTTCAGAGTAGTGAGGATGATTTAGAGAGAGAGTTTCTGTATACTGGAAGGAGCAAGCGGGCTCCAGTTGAGCAGCCACAGGACAAGTGCTCCTACACTTTCATTGTGCCTCAGCAGAAAGTGACCGGAGCCATCTGTGTCAACTCCAAGGAGCCGGAGGCCATGTTGGAAAATCGAGTCAACAAACAGGAGTTAGAGCTGCTGAATGTGGAGCTGCAGAAACAGAAGAGGCAGATTGAGACCCTGCAGCAATTGGTAGAGGTTGACGGAGGTATTGTCAATGAGGTAAAGCTTCTGAGGAAGGAGAGCCGAAACATGAACTCCAGAGTCACTCAGCTGTACATGCAGCTGCTCCATGAGATCATCAGGAAGAGAGACAATGCTCTTGAATTGGCTCAGATGGAGAACAAGATCCTGAACCAAACCTCTGAGATGTCACAGCTCACCGGTCGATACAAAGATCTCGAGCACAAGTACCAACATTTGGCTTCTTTGGCCAACAACCAATCAACTCTTATTGCCCTGTTGGAGGAGCAGTGCCAGACTCGCCCTCCCCCTCGTCACGTGCCCGTCCCCCAGCCACGGTCTCAGCCACCTCAACCATCACCACCTCTAAACAAGCCTTACCAGCCACCTGTTGTACCACGAATTAGCAAACCAATCAGCAACGAGATCCAGAGTGACCAAAAATCTCAACCGGTTCTTCCAACAATGCCCACTGGCACACACAGCCCATCCACCACTGACAAGCCCTCTGGTAAGTCTAATATTAACTTTGAAATAAAGACACTTCATGTCAAAGTTCTATTGGTGTTCTCAACAAACACACCAGTTGCCACCACAAACTGTGAAAACAAACAAGGTATTGTGTGTCTGGGATAATGGTGTTCTGAACATATTAATCATTAATCACAAGACAAGACCAAGTATCCATTCTTCCATTCATTTCAGCCAATTTAAATACATCCCACACATTCCCAGGGCAAAGGGCTCTTAGTGAGAACAGGAACGCTGTTGTCTGAAGTCTTTTGAGATGCATATCATCTAATTGCCACAATTCAACCCACGCAAAAACACAGAGCATATTAGCAGGTTAAATACATGTGTCTAAATGAATAGCTGGATCCAAGCCCGTGGGACACTTGAACACATATTAGTGGACAATAAAGCTTTAAAATGTATGTGAAGGTTGTTTTGCAGTATAATTTGCACTGAATAGTCTGTTGTTGTTGCGTTTTAGTTGAGACTGCAGTTTTAAAATGGTGGAAAAAAGAAAAAAAACTTTGCCAACTTGACTAGTGGGAGCTTTTTCCATTGACATTTTGAGCTATGCTTGCCATTCAAAAGGCTGTATGTGAACGGTAGCCTTTGTATTGAATCTTTAAACGGAGGCAAGTCATTTCCTGCCCTTAGCCATGCAACTAACACCCCGAATAGTTACATAAACCCTTGACACGAAACAATGCAGGAATAGAGGGAGAAAGAGAGAGACCTGGAAGAGCTAGGGATGAAGAGTGAACTAAATATGGGAGGGGGGTTAAGTATGAACAGAAAGAGATAGGCTACTGAGAGTCAATGATGTCATTTGTTCCAGTTGCACCCGGGTAGAAACAGTCATATGTTCCACCAAGGCTGCAGACTTTATCAGGCAGAACAGAGCAGGGCAGGGCAGGGCAGCTCTCTGGCTTGTATCTGCTCAACAGACATTCCTGAGAGCAAATGGATGGCAGAGAGACAGATACCGTGCACAGTGATTTAATAAAAACCAAAAGCAGGCCTGAAACTGTTACTTTTTCACATTGTGGGAACTCTTTTATGATTCCTTTGTTTGGCATCTCAGTTTAGCAGGACCTTTTGACATATTATAAATGATTTGCTTTGTTTCTTTTTTTCATATACCTCCTCTTCCTTTATCTCTTGCAAACTGTTGATGCACCCCTTCCCTCATCTCTGCACCTTTGTGTGACCCCCTAGTCTCTTTTCATTTATTTCCATTGTATTTAAACACTTTGTAATCCATGCCAGTTGGCAAACCAGACAAGTGTAACATCTTGAGAACTTAAACACTTTCACAGCCAATTGAAGCAGGGGAGCCAGTTGTACCATAAGTGTTTTTCCATATCAACTAGGTCTGGTTTTCAGGGTAAAATCATAATGGCACAGGGAAATTAGATTTAACTGACTTGACCTGTAAAGTCCAATAAAAAAAGGTATTTGTAGCGTGGATTATTGCTCTGCAGCAGAGCACAGGCTGATTCTACATACATGTGAATAATATTATTCTTTGACAGTTCTTTAAGAAATATATCTTCATATTATGTTGTAGCCAAGATGCAATCCTGTTACTTGAAACACCTTAACGCAAACTTGAAAGAAACTTCTGGCAGAAAAATGGAGATTAGGAAAAGGATTTACAAGCTGTCATAAGTAATTTAAATCCAGGAAATCCTCCGTTCAAAACATGATTTGAAACCGTAATACGCACTCGTCCAACAAAAATGATGTGTCTGAGTATTATAAAGTACAAAAACTAAGTGAAAAGTAAAATAATAATAATCTTGCACTGCATCACTTATGATTAAACGTTTTAGCAAGTGTTTCAACATTCAGTAGTCAGTATTCCCTTTGCCCTCATGCCAGTGTTTCTTTTGGCTGCAAAGACGGCAGCCATTTCCCTTTTGAGAGGAGCAGCCAAAGTCAATTCCACTGTTAAAAGAGTCTCTGCTGACAAATGGGATTCCCTATGACAGACTATAAAACCCCTTTGTGTCACTATGGCTTTCCCTGCATTTCCTTTTCTTAACTTTAATGAAACAGTAGTAACTGACTGGATTTGCAGTCTTAACATGTCTTGTTGTAATCTTTTTATTTAGGGCCCTTTAAGGATTGTCTGCAGGCTCTGGACGACGGCCACACAGCCAGCGGCATGTGCCTGGTGAAGCCAGAGAATGCCAATCGGCTTATGCAGGTGTGGTGCGACCAGAGACACGACCCAGGTGGCTGGACTGTGATCCAGCGGAGGGTGGACGGCTCCGTCAACTTTTTCAGGAACTGGGAGACATACAAGGTGCGAAAACCTCACACCAAATCAAGAACCTCATAGTTTGGAGGGAAGCAGGTAGCATATGTAGGTCGCTTTGCCACTAACCAGATGTGAACCAGTAATGAATAGGTAATTGTTGAGCTCTCAAAGTGTCTAATGTGGTAAACGCATCAGTCACTGCCACCACAGCCATGACTCATTATTTCCAGCAACATCAGTTGGTCTTTGTGAATGAGTTCACAGTAAAGCAAAATGGACTTGAATGTCACCTTAGTTGGCTGTGTCAGCATTCTTGATGTTCTGGAAAAATAACCTTATTTTCTGGATATGAATCACAAGGTACCAGATAAAACCCTCACACAGGGGGAAGCAGTTCACTGGTTAACATGTGTTTGTTGGCCATGAGGGTCCTGATTGAATCTCAGCTAAGTGCAACAATTGAGAACTTTCCAAAACTGTTATGACAACCTTTAAACCACATGAGATCTGAAGATGTATTTGTACACTCATCAGAAGGTGTGTTTCCATAATTCAAAGCATGTGCAGGGCAGGGGATACCACACACCCACTGACATTATGAAAAGAGTTAAAGCAAAGCAATGAGGCAAGATCCAGTATGTCAGACTTCATATCATAAACACTATTTCCTGCTGCTTTCAATAACAAAATAACAGTGAAAGACTGGACACCCGATGCTAGCTATAAACTTGACTCAGAAGGACCATTTATAATAATGTTCCTTGACGATAAACAACCCAGTAAAATAACTAATCTCTTACTCCAGAACATGGGCAGCGACCCTGAAATATCCTCATGACATCCAAACTAAGCTTTTCAAAGAGCGTTCAGAAAGGATTTCCTAATCTATCTGATGGTGTTATTCTTATCTCTGCACTTCACAGCAAGGCTTTGGCAATATTGATGGCGAGTACTGGCTGGGTCTGGAGAACATATACTGGCTGACTAACCAGGCCAACTACAAACTGCTGGTCACGCTGGAGGACTGGTCCGGCAGGAAGACGTTTGCAGAGTACGCCAGCTTCAGAGTGGAGCCTGAGGCCGACTTCTACAAGCTCAGGGTGGGCCGTTATCATGGCAACGCTGGAGATTCCCTCACTTGGCATAACGGCAAACAGTTCACAACACTGGATAGAGACCATGATGCATATACAGGTACAAATAACTAATGAAACTGGACACACTGGCAGCTTAAAATAAAGGATTAAAATGTGTTAAATGCATCATTTGTTTATGCACGCAGCCTGACAGTTCTGTTATTTTTTTCCCTATGTTTCTAGGCAATTGCGCCCACTACCAAAAGGGAGGCTGGTGGTACAACTCTTGTGCCCATTCCAATTTGAATGGAGTTTGGTACAGAGGGGGACACTACCGCAGCCGCTACCAAGATGGAGTCTATTGGGCCGAGTTCAGAGGAGGAGCCTATTCACTAAAGAAAGTGGTCATGATGATCCGTCCAAACCCAAACACCTTCCACTAAGCATCCAATGAGCACACATACTGTACTGTATCTTTCACTAAAACAAAACAGCTCCTAAAATCCCTACAACTTTTATCTTTTTGGTTTAAAGGATGGGCAGCACACCACACTACAAAGAAACAGATGATGTTGAAAGTGCAATATATGAAAACATCAGGATGATGTATAATTTGTGTTGCAATGTTATTCCGTTTGTACCATTTCTCTTTTAAGACGCGTTTGTTGCTCAGGAGATTGTGCGCTGTTTTTTATTCAAACTGAATTAAAACTGCTTATTGGACAGTGCTCTCATTAGATCTTAGTGACTAAAACACCACAAACCTTAATTGACATGAATAGATTACAATAATTCAGCTTGAGATAGGAACCCTCGATATATATTGTATGTATACTAAAAGTTGTTTTTTGCAGTACAAGCAAATGAGGTTGACACAGGAAACGTATCCAGTGACTTTAATTTCATTCAAAATACATTTTTCAAATGTGTTATTTATAGGAACAGTTACATTTATTGACTTGTTATACAGAGTCGATATTCTGGCCAGTATTGTTTATTGCAAATACATGTATTATAAAAACAGTGCCATTTACTTTTCGTACAAATAAAAACTGTTGATAGCAATATCTGACTTTATCAATTGTCTGCTTATGCATCTAATATAATGAATAACACAAATCAACTCCACCTGAATTTGTGGAGGTACACTCGCTTCAAAGTTCTTGTTCACTTGTTTTAAAATCTTGAATTGCTTGAACAGGTATCCACCAATTTGCTTGTATGAATCAAGCACTGTATTTACTGTATAAAATAGTGGTTTGTTGATGTCAATAGATGCAACACATTGCGTTTGTACATAAGATATTTGTAATATAATGTATTAAAACCTGTTATGTTACTATTACGTTGCAATAAAATATGTACAGCTTGTGTCTTTCTCTGATGTTTGCATCTCTTGGTATGAAATATAATTAGTATAGCTAAATGCACAATATCTCTCAATCAAAATAATAACACAAGATGTAGTTCGGCTGAAGTAGTCTGGGATCATGGATGTAAGGATTCCGTCATTGTTCCGGGTTTCCTGGTAGCCGAATTATTTGAAAATGAAGGCCTCCTAAATAAAAGTTACCAAAAAAAAGCAAAAGTCGCCTCCTTTCAAAATACAAAGCCTACACTGTCTGATGAAATCGCTGAATTAAGCAGTTTCATGTTGAATAAATCAGTTCCCCAAAAAGGTTTGGCAGATATACTGTAGGAGTGAGGTATATTCAAGAAGTTTTTGTTGGAAGATGAGCAATACGCAGAGGTCTCCTCTGGACTAAGTGATTAAAACCGTTGAGGCGGACATTTGCTCAGACTGTTTCTCTCATAACTTAAAATCCAGACATCCAAGGAATAAAATACTTTATCCGGTTAAAAAAGGTGTTGTACAGTATGAATATTGCTTAAAACTGGATAAAAACCCAATAATTGACACTGTCTATTACATTTGTAACATTGCATTATTTAGATTGTTCTGCTTTTCTGGCCAAAAAGTTAAGAATAATGTGAATATTAGTTTTAAATATTACTGCTTTGTTAATGCTGAAAACATACAGATGTAGCACCTAATTTTCGGACGCCCCTACCGATGTGGGGCCGTGATCGGAATGGGGTGGGCCCTCGCTGAAAGGAAGCAGCCTTCTGCAGGTGCCTTCACCAGGCAACAACCACAGCTTTTGGCAAATAGAGTGGTGCAGTGACGAGTCCTAAAACCCAGAAGTGACTTAGCATTTAAGCCAAGAGACGGATCACGTTTTGTTCTACGACATTAAATACATCAGCAGTGACCACACTGGTGATTTTTGAAGAGTTTACGTGTCTGAAAAACGATGGTTGTTAACAAGTGGCTGAATAGGAGTACAGAAGTTGTCGAGGACGTTGTACGTCATTACGCCTAACACATAAACACTCCCGCTAAGTTGGTTTTCCCCTGTTCTGATTTAAAGCAAGTGCCTGCCTCCTGCAAACTGGTATAACAAACGCTTCAACTTGAATCTGTATTTTTTAATATCGATCTTAAGTTGGCGTGACGATGAAGTCGTGCGACCCTGCTGTACTCGGCTGTAGTTCATTTATAGCATAACGCTAGCATTTTGCTTCTGGCGATTCGATTTACGATTCGAACATTTAAAAAGTAGGGTAGACATGTCGAGATTATCCGGCTGAACAAAACGTGTTTATCAAATAGGTTCAATTTCCACAGACCTTATTTCGATCTATTTTCCAAAATTCTATGCAGAAATCCCATTGCTTTTTTGCCAGGGGAACCCATGCGCAGCTTACTTCCGGGTAAATAAGTCATCCCTGCAGTGCACCACTCTATGTCAAGGGGTGAACACTGAGGCATGAACTCAATTGCACGACNCATAATAGACAAGATAGGCGAAGGGAGTCCAGGGTTAAAGCAGAACCCGTTTATACAACATACAATACAGAAGGAACGTCGGTCACACAACACTCATCCCTTGAGTCTGTATGTCGTCGCTGTCCGTCTGATGCGAGACATTGTGAGTAAAAAACACTTGTCTTCTTGTCGATTTTACCACTTGCCTGCTAGGTTCAATTAGATGACCGTCGTCTCCAAAGGCGTGCGAGCTACAGAGTGAGTGCGCCTCTCTACAACTACAGAGGACGCGCGCGCTCGCTGAGAGGGAGACCGAGAGGAGGTCGCCTACTCAGTGAACACACAGTCTCAGATTTTTCACCAATCACATGTACTTCCACCAACGAAGACGGGAGGTAGCATGCCAGACCTCCTGTCCTTTTCAATTGTGTGTTCTACAGGTCAACTTTTGAAACATCGTATAAAAAAGCTTATTGTAATACTTTTCTAGCGTGACCCGAAGTTGATTTATTTGTCGGTGCGTTTTTGACGTCGTAAACATGCAGAATACTCATGAACTTTCAATCGACTTCACAAAGGATCACCCCCAGTCGTGACGTGGTGCCTCCTTCAACGTCGTTTCAGTGTTATTTCTCTCGCCCCGAACCGCAACGCACGTACCCAAGGAAGACCGGACATTGCCCCTCTGCGCGAGACCGACCGCCCCAATAGCCAGTCCTAGTTTAGTTAAATTTATAAAACTGTGTGATTAAGGTCGAATAATATCACACGGAGACCAATGCCCGGATAGCGTTCTTAATCTGATCTGAGTCGGCTGAGTTCATTTTGATGGTCAGTTCGTACTGTCAAGGGGTGAACACTGAGGCATGAACTCAATTGCACGACTCAAAACTCAGACTCAGATAGCGTTTTCAAAATAAAGACTTTACTGGAATTTTGCACAGTAATAAAATAAGGAAAACAAAACACTCTTTCGAGGAAAACTAGAATGCGATCTATAGCATAGGTCCGTGAAAGGTCCGTGAAAGGTCCGTGAGGTAAGCCGATACGTAGGTCTTCGAGAGACAACGAACTGACAATTAACAGGAGGGAGCTAACACAATATATACACAGGTAAAGGGGACACAGTTGGAAACAATCAGGCCGGGGAAAATAATCAAGGACGCAGGAGACAGAAAGGGGCGGGGAGCGTGGAGGCCTGAAATGAGAGGAAGAAATAATTAAGGGTATAGACATAAAGCACAAGACAAAGGGACATGACAACTCTAACATAAAGAATAAACTTTCACTATAAGTTTCTTGGACATGACACTCTATTGGCTTTTAATTATTTCCTATGTGACACCTTAATTTGTTTGCTTTATTTCGCACTACTAATCAACAATGTGTTCAAGTTAAACTGAATTAGATTCTTAAGGTAGAGTAACAAGTGACATGCCATTTTGAAAAACTAAGGTATGAGTACTGGTTGCAATAAAGCATGTTGTCTGAAACACTATTAGGCACAGCGTTTGCATTTAGAGTCAGTGCACAAGGGAATGACAAATGAATAGTGACAGGCTTGTAAAACTAATGCATCCAGCAGTCCCCTCCTCTGAGAGCAAAAACCACCTTTATTTTACTAGGTGCCAATGAGATTTCCAAAGGCAACTGGAAAATGAAGCAAGAATGAGTTTACACTGAGTTTACACTGCAATGAACCAATCTCCATTAATGTCATATTCTGTGAACAGGCTTGAGCAGGGGACGGTTCAGACAGTTTAGAGTGTGTTTGGAATCAATTTGATATAAATTCTCATGAGTGACATCTATTAAAAAAAAGCTGCAAACCTAAAGAGACCAATTATCAACAGAAAAAAACGGGACGTGTCTATTTAAAGTCCCTTGTTCCAAATAAAAGCTTACTTACTATGTTAGAGTTATAAGCTGCCAAAGTCAAGATTGATGCTTATGTGAAGGCAGCCAAAACACTTGTCTAACAATAAACCGAATAACATTGACAGCTAAAAAGTGCCCTTCCCCATGACAAAGAGGCTTTCGATGAGACAAAGGAAGACATTCATCACTGTGACTCTCACTTTTGTCAGCCGTGTTTCTACTAAAGATGGATTAGAAGGTAAAATGCACTTTGAACCAAATCATTCCGTCTTCCCAGAAAGGTCAACACTTTTTTCTAACATTTTTTAAAGTCTGCTCAGTCAATTAACCTTCTTGTGGTGAAACAGAGGACGGTGTTTCATCGTCTCCATAAACAGAGACGACAGACTCTTTGGATGCCGTTTATGTCTGAAGACTCACCACGATGGAAAACCTTCAGTAAGGGTGGCCTGTTCAGCCCCCACTCTCCAACCAACATGGAAAACCATGAGCTGACACAATGCTCACTCAGCACAAAAATAACCGCATTTCCTGGGCCTTCAAACCTGAACCTTCAAACTGTCCTGTATTGTTATTTCACGTCTTTAAAAGTCCACGTCCTTATACTTCTGATAGTATAATTTTTTACTTTCCTGCGCTCCTGCAGACCCTTTTCACTTGACATTGGGAGTAGATATCATAACAGGAGAAACTACTGCACAAACTATTCACTGGGGACTTTAACCACACACTTGCCTTTACTCCAACTAAATGCAAAATGTGCAAAGAGACAAGACATGCCATATAACTTAGAATGATTTGGCAATTACTAAACGCTGTAGCAAATGATAAATCACTGATGGTAGCGATGATATGCCTAATAACAAGTCAATGTCATTTAAAAACAATATGTGACCTCTGGATAACTCATATTTTAAAAGTCCTTCAGAGTTTATAACATCCTGGAATGGAGGAGGTCAGCGCTTGTGTTCAGGATGTGTTACATATCAAGCTCTATGAACGGACTGTGTGGGGGAGGTGGCTTTTCCACTATATCCTTTTCCTATTTTCCACTGGTTGTGTGCCAGGGTCATGCTACAATCTTTTCAGGTAGCCAATACGACTGTGAAACAAATTTAAAATCAACAGAAGTTGGATAATTACATTACAGCTGCACTAACTTTTAAACAGAATCCTTCCTACTGTGAAGAAACTTCCTAAAACACATTTTACACCAACAGAAACAATAAATCGTCTGCAAAGTTTATTCTCATCCATCTTTCTGTCATCTCTTTTTCCCCTCTTCAGTCTTTTCACCATTGATGTCTCCATCTCTTTGTCATAACTTGCCATATATTGAAGACAGGCTGAGGTAGAATTGCTTTGCTGTTATTTCAGTGTCTGGATAACTTCAATCCCTCAGTCAGATTGATGTAATGGAGCATACCACCGAGGTGACACAACCTATAACTGTCATTACCACATTGCAAGTCAGCAAAAACATAACTTTTAAGACCATGGAATAATATAGTGAGATCCAACTAAAGGCTGTGCAATAAAAGGTAACCAACATCTTTTTCCAAGTCATTTATTTGAATTACTCCCCATTATTGCTGTAAAATGATTGTGATGCATATGGCAGCCATCAAAAGATGCTTAAAATAGAAATACATGGTAATGTGGC